ATAAGGTTTAGAGTATACTAAACTTTACACATTATATAGGCTACAATAACGTGACGTTTAAGCGGTTTGTTTAACTATTATACATGGTGTACCTTTTTTTTGGTGTGTGTGGAGGGATAATGAAAGTGTTCCAAAACGCGACATTAATTTCTTGACGGCCTAATATATATACATATTTGCTATTTGTTCGCTATATAATTGTAGCAAATTGCACCACTTTTGCTTCATTCCCACGCTCATCTGCTTCGCCCAGGAATCATGAAACCCTCATGTGCTCAGTTTGCTAGAGCATTCGAGAAGACACTCGTCTGAGCATAAAAGGGGCGGAGTCAGACGCCTCTCTTTCAGTTGCCTTACACTCACTCTGTTAGTCACTTTGCCTCGCTCCGCACCCAGTCAAAAGAAAGTCCGATTTTCCTCCTCGTTATACCCGTGATATAATCAAATTTGGCAAATCTTTGTTGTTTAAATACTTTTAAACTCTAATTTTTTGAACATAAATTCTTTGATATTTTTTAGAAAATCATTTGAAATGCTGGCTGCCTCCAGTTCAAGTCAATTCCGAAAGTGCAAAAACACCCAAACAGTTTCTGCAACATTTGTGGAAAATATCTAAAATTTTATTAAGGAAAAGCGTTATCCACAAGGTAAAGGTATCTTAGTACCAATTGGGTGTTAAATTAGTGGGAAAGGTCTTCCAGTGCCAGTGAATTGGGAAACAGAAGAGTTATCCTGTGAAGAAGACAATGAATAATCTTCATCCTCTTCATTTAGTCCTGTGGCACCTCAAAATAAACTGTTTCATTTGAACATACAAGAAGAGCTAAATGATCTGATTCGTGACTTGTCTCTATCAAAGCAGCATGAGGAACTTCTTGGCTCTCGTTTATAGCAATGGAATTTATTAGCTCCAGAAACAAGAGTTTCAATTTATCGAAGTCGCCATCAAAGTATTGCTTCTCACTACAGCATGCAAGATACTTTTTGTTTCTGTACAAATTTAAATACATGGAAGAATTATGTACTGAACATTATCATCAAGAAAGAAGACTTTTTATCTTTTCATCTAAAGTTAGTCTGAAATCTGTACTTTTAAATAACTGGAACAGTGAACCATCGATTCGTGTTGTTCATACTGTGAACATGAAATAAACTTACCAAAGCATACAGATTATATTTGAGGCCATCAAATATGGTCATCATAGGTGGAACATATGTGGTGATCTAAAAGTTATTGCACTCCTGCTAAGCCTGAAGAGTGGGTATACTAAACATTGTTTCTTTTTGTGTCTCTGAGAGAGCCGAGATGATAAAAATAATTTCAAAAGAATGAACAGCCAGTTAGAGAGAATTACATACTAGGAAAACAGAATATCTAGTATCAACCTTTAGTAAATCTTCAAAATATATCTCTGCCTCACTTCATATTAAACTGGGACTCACGATGAATTTTGTAAAAAGAATAGACAAAGATGGTAATGGTTTCAGATATCTTTCTTACAAGTTTCCAAAAATCAGTGAAGAAAAAATGAAAGGAGGTATCTTTGTTGGACCAAAGGTTGAGGAAGTGCTGATGGATGATGATTTTGAAACAGCACTCAATCAGAAAGAACTTGTTGCCTGGAAATAATTCAAACTGCTGGTCAAAAATATCTTAGGAAATCACAAAGATAAAAACTGTGCTGTGATGATTGATGATATGCTGAATAACTACAGGAAAATGGGGTCTAGGATGTCACTAAAGATGTACTTCTTACACCCCATTTAGACTTCTTTCCAAATGATCTAGATGTAGTGTGCAATGAGCATGGTGAGCGCTTCTAACAAGATATTTCTACAATAGAACAACGATATCAAGAACGATGGAAGCCTGCGATAATGGAAGATTACTGTTGGTTCTTACAGCGTGAAACTGAGAACACTCATAAAAGGCCCAACAAGTCAAGCAGATATTTTATAACGAAAAATAAAAAATAATAACATGATGAAAGTTTTGAACATAGCCTGAATGTATTTTCCGTATGTTATTATATACATTGCTTTTTTTGAACTGGTATTATTATTATTTATTGTTTTGAATATTATTAACTGCAATTTTCAATGAGTAAATAAAGTTATTAAAGAATAAGAATTATTTTCACGATATATAAGAATATTTTGAATAAATCTATCATAACTCAAGAACTAAAGGTGATCAGTAATTTTCAAACATGATTTTTTAGAATCAGTATCGTCAAATTACACAGAAACATCGCATTTTTTTCTAGTAGAAGAGAAAATGGTTTTTCTGTCACCCTGTGTTATCTCGAGATTACTGAACCCCCTAATACAGATAGTTGGCACCCTAAAGTACCCAGGGTTTTGTACTCTAACTGATTCGGGGGGATTAATCAGTTAATTAGTAGCATTTACAGTGGTAGAAGTTAACACTTTGAGAGCTTAAGAGCACCGGTAATCTAGATTATTTAAATTACTGGTTTTGAGATTGATCTAGAGGATTACCAATGTTACTCCGAGAAATCCAGGACTAGAGTATTCGAAAGGATTAACAGAATTCACATTTTGAGTCGTGGTGGCGAAGATAAATATTTTAAAACTTCAGGCTCTCTGAGTAGAGCTGATGAATAGAACTAATTTTAAAACCAATACGAACACTATATGATTACTGTATACTACTACAATATTACCATGTAAATGTTGGTTAAACGAGTTAAAAATAATTTCTACTTGTTTGGATTTTCCAACAACGAATTGAATCCCACAGACCTGTATACAATTTACATACTAGAGACTAGGGAGTAACATATTTAGTGGTACAGTTAAACTTTACAATGTAAAAGGATAACATTGATAAGAATGTTGTGTTAATAACTCAATAAGTACAGAAACAGAAGTTACTAAAGTATATCAACAGTGATAAACACGTATCGTTTCTGAAGTATATCAACAATCACCAACACGTAGGGTAACTAAAGTATATCAACAATCACCAACACGTAGTGTAACTGAAGTATTTCAACAATCACAAACACGAACCGTTACTAAAGTATATCAGCAATGATCAACACGAACCGTCACTGAAAGATATCAACAATCATCAACACTTATAACAACAATCATCAACACTTATAACAACAATCTTCAACACGTACCATTACTGAAGTGTAACAACAATCTTCAACACGAACCAGTACTGAAGTATATCAACACGAACCATTACTGAAGTATATCAACACGAACCATTACTGAAGTGTAACAACAATCTTCAACACGAACCAGTACTGAAGTATATCAACACGAACCATTACTGAAGTATATCAACACGAACCATTACTGAAGCATATCAACACGAACCATTACTGAAGTATATCAACACGAACCATTACTGAAGTATATTAACACGAACCATTACTCAAGTATATCAACATGAACCATTACTGAAGTATATCAACACGGACCATTACTGAAGCATATCAACACGAACCATTACTGGAGTATATCAACACGA